CAGAAAAGAGTATGAATGGCGAGGAAGATCTTCTCGTTGGCTAAACGACAACGATTTTCTCCAATGTTTTTTTTTCAGAGTAATACGAATCAGGTCGTCCTCCTGTTTGGTTGTACTCGGTTTACGACCTCCACAAGCTCTTCTGGTTGTTGTTTTCTCATGGATTATCCTGTAAATTGTACTTCTGTTAACGTTAAAGTATTCGGCAAGATTTGATATCGGAAATCCGAGTTTATGTGCTCGTACAATTCTGTTTCTCTCTTCTTTACTGAGATAACGGGAACTTTTGGTTTCGGGCGCTGCTTGCTTCAAAATAATGATAACAATATAAACATTCAAAGGTGTGCACAAAAATGACCTTGATTTCAAAGTTGACTTTGATTGAAGTGGTGCTTTTCCAATTCAGTGGGTTAGATGTCAAACGTAGATTATTACAATGAAACCTCAGTTAATGCAATATCTCCGGGTTGTGAAACAATTTCATTTGGTTATCCACTAGAGTTGCTATAATGGATTATATATTAGGTGAAATAATGCCAAATTGCAAATAACCGAGATGGCAAAGGTTTATGGAAATAATTTGGGATAATTCTTGAATCATTCCTATTGGAAAATATTGTGTTTTAACACTTGATCAAGTTTGTGGTTTTCATGTTCAGATCATCTAACCTTGGCAACGAAGGTCAGGCACGTTTACTTGACACTTATGCAGACTAGAAACTACGTAGATCNAACATCAGATTAACGTCATATTACAAAAATAAAAATAGAAATCTGGTTAGTATTGATTCCCGGTAGGTGACAGAATTATAGATAAACACGACTCTGTGCCGTGTCTACCTCGTCACAGATTTATCGATCAGATTGTATTGCCTTCTGCCACTACCGCTCTCCTTTCGGGATTGCACAATCTATCTAACTACCATGAAATTGTTTGTACTGGTTCAATTTGCTCCAACTCATGCTGTGGGACAAAATTGAGTTAAAATCTCGTCAAACAAACCATTCCGATTCGTTTCAGTCCCCTTGCACTGTTCACGGGATTTGAGAGTGCGCATTGTCGGTGGTATCTAAACTGTTTGAAGTACTTGCACAATGAAACTCCATTTGATAATATAGAAAATATTTTAGTTCCTCTCACTCAGCCAGTACTGTATGAGTGCCATGATAATTTGAAGTTTGGAGGAGTGGGGTGTATTGGGAGTGCAGTGGTTTAGTCGCTGTCAACAGCGCGCTTTGGACTCTATGGTTCGAGGTTCGAGCTCCGCAACCGCCACCCAAATTTAGTGGTAGACAGCTTTGCTGTTGTCTGGTTCAATACCTTGCCTAACCTAGCGCGGAGCCTTGTGTGGTTCGCCACTCCAAATCTCGGGGTTTGCGATACCATTTGCCATCACTGAACAACTGGTTCTCTTGGCTTTTCCTGTCTGCTGTCCATCGCACACACACACACACACACACACACAAAGGTGTGTAACAGGAAAAAACCAACATGCTGGTCATTTGAACTTAGCACAATAATAACCAGACCGAATTGGTTCACTCAGTAAGATCCGAATCACTTGGCCTCTGGTTACACAATGTTCCTAATAAATTAAGCACAGAAAGATGGAGCAAAACACTAAACGAATGTCAGCATAAGAGCAGTATACAGTAAGCAATCATACCCATTGCCGCCAATTAGAAAAATGGCATAAAGAGCATCGGTGAGATGAATCCAAATGAACGACTAAGAATACTACACTCCGGACATTTTCATGTATGCACGCGTACCTCACGGACTCGAGTATGCACCACTCGATTTGGCCTGATTGTCAGATTTTTTATTTGCCATACAACAAACGTACGCTTTTGTCCATAAACGTTTTAAGGCATGGGTTCAGGGTAACCCGTCCCTGGTTTTTTCCCATTCATTCGAATCGTGTCTGCAAACTATAAACACGGAATCAACACAGTGGTCAAATGAATTTGAGTTTTACGTGCCCCATAGAACACATATTTTCAGGCACTTTTGACAAGTTATAATAAAGTGAGCGTTAAGCATTGAAATAAAAAGAAATGATACATTTAATCAATAAAAAACAAATGAATATGATAAAATCCTAATGGGACAGATAATTTTTCAAATCAGTAATAACATTTGCTCGGTTTACTTAGATACGAGCAAAATAAGGGTTGGTGATGCTGCGTCTTGTATGTGGTGGTACATGCATAAAGAATCTCTTAATTTGGAACGAGTATTCGGATGAGACATAGATTTATTGACTCTTTATCCATTGTGGATGAAATAGGCTAAACAAAGTGGGCAACAGTATTAAGAGTGGCAAACGAAGGTTTGTAAACTAATTGAATAGGGTCATGAGTAACAGATCAAAGAGTCATCCGATTAGGAAGCACTTCTTTGAAAACTTTCAATAGTGCTGATGTGCCAGCAATCGGTCGGTATTTGGAAGATCCTATTTTGGGAATTGGGGTTATCCGAGCAGCTCTCCAACAATTGAATAACTCGGAACTAGGTAAATCAAGTTGTTCAGCGCACTCTTTCAACAGAACAGGAGACACTGAATCAGGGCCATGTGCCTTGTTAGATTTAAGGGAGCTTGGTACCTTAAAACCTTCCACTGGAGTGACAGATTTATTCTCCCTAGTAGATACAAATGAAGGCGGTGTTGAGTTCAGCAAAGAAGCATTTGCGAATTGACAGTTTAACCCATCAACATCCGAGGAGGAGTTATTACGTGGTCCACAGAGTTTGTTCAAGGCAGATCACATACCAGGGCAGTTCTGGCTCCCAATAAGAGTTTTAACATGCATCGGATTTCGGCGAAGTATTTCCCCTTGGATGGATAATGATAGATGTACAAAAGTACAGCACCTTCCAGTTCCCAGTGGACAAGATTGTGGAAAAGAAGGGAATGTTGACGATTTCTAGAGGCGCGTCTTTTGTCTTTGACCTCTGTTAGTCCGATCGATTGTCACGTTTGTACCTTTGGTCAACAGACAAAGGACAGGGTAACCCCATGGAAAGATACAATGCAAGATACAATTTCAATTAGAAATTTCAAAGCAGCTTGTACTTTCCACAATCGGTATTTCACATCCATAAAATATTGCATTTGTTTACTATTCGCATTTTTCACAATAAAACCCTTGCAGGACAAAGTAACAATTACTGTCAATGGTTATGGTGGCGGAGACGGGGTCGGTGTTCGTTTGAGGAGCAACATCTCTATCAGTAGTATGTTCAGTATTGTTGTTTGAGCCTCGGAATCATCACTTCACTTCGTTGGTATACGTTTAAACCCATGAACAAACTATGTCCTAGGACGATTTTTGTATGCACATGTTTAATGCATACATATGCTCAAGATCAGCTCTGCTCCAGGTGTTTGTCCCCATTTTTGTGTATTCATTGAAAGCCATCCGAGTACCCATTTTCCCGTTTCTGAAAATAAAGAAAGCTAAAATAGTTATTGAACTTTTCGCCTCCTTTTACACAAAACTAAACTGAAAAAAACATTCTTCAGGAATTGATTATAACGTCACTCTCCGCGAGATGGAAAAAAAATATTGGCGCTAATATGCTTGCATTTCCATGACCCCGGTCCACCAATTCGTCTTTCAAATTGGTCTAGGCTATCAATCAATTTCACAATTTTCCTTCAACGNTGAAATTGCTCTCTACGTTCCCTCGAGACCTACACTGCATGATGTGATCACGTTTGGCAATGACGGTGTGGAATTCCGATCAGTAGAGATTGCTCAATCCCCGCACGATTCATCCGTGCAATCCAGTCCGAGAAACTTGGTGAAACAAATTGCAACTGAGGAGGAAGAGGAGGAAGAAGGATCGATGTCTACGGACCATGAAATGGAAGACGTACCGACGACTTCCGATCTCGCACCGGGAACAGAAGTTTCAGATTCCGAACAAAGTGTTACCGTGTTGGCGGACAGCTGTGTGGACAACGAACAGTCTGACCAGACATCCGTGACTGTCGAATGCACAACAGCAGTGGACAATCAAGCCGTAACCATGGAATCCCCCACTAAGGCTGAGGCACAAGACATAACCAAAAGTTGCTCATCTGATCGTACCTCACTGGTTTTGGATTCTGTGCAACCCGCGGTGACCGACCCTGAACATGTTACGACCGAGACACCGCCCACCTCGCCAGGGGAATATCGTCTGGGGCTACTCATTGATCCGCAACTACAACAGGTCCCCTGGGCCTTGATGCGTTGTGTCAGACAATGGGCTTTGCGAGCCGAGGACTACGCCAGTTCGTGCCGAGACGCACGAGCTGTGGTACAAATTATTCAGGACACTATGGAACTGCTCGACATGGCCAGTTCGTTCGAAACTTGGATGGAAGAAAAGTGAGTTTATTTCATTGAACACGTTTGTGTACAACCTCCTAACGAGTCATTACTGGTAGGCGCAGATAAACTGTATCGTTTTGTATTCAATAAAAGGAAGTAAAGTGTAAACGATGTGAAAGGTAAAAAACGATAATGTACAATTGATATGGTGCAACTTTGGGGATGTCCGAAAATTGTGTTACCCTAATCAGGGAGCAAGTTATCTTTTGTCACGTGTTCACCTGCTAGAAAACCAGACCGGATAAACTCAGTATCCAATTCTGTTGATGCAGTAAAATATTTTAACAATCTCTTGGAAAAATAATTTTAAAAACTTGTGCAGTAGTTTCATGAATTTTTACTACGTGCTTAGTGGAGTGGTGGAGGTGGGGCCTTGTGCACGTTGAGATTGAAACTCACTGTCTGTAATGAAGATTTGATTCACTAGCACCAATGATGTTTACTTTCTAAAGGAAAACGTTTTTACCACATTATCCTCCTTGTGAAATTAAAGACTATTAACCGTGAGAATGTTTATGTCCTATGCGTGTATTTGTGTGTATTTTTACTTTCTTTTTTTATTTACTGTATATACAAATGTACAGTCAACATCGTGTGTTATCCACAATCCCGCAATCTGTCGACCTCCAGTCATAATTCTTTAGCCTCCATCCACAATCCTTTAACCAAAATCCTCAATGCTTTCTTCACGACCCGTAGTCCTTAAACTTCAGTCACACCTTTGTAGGCGAGTCCGATAAAAAAGTGTTGGAATAATCTGAGTTCAACAAACGTGTGAAAAGTTTATTGCGTAAAATATTCCCATCAATACATAATAACGAAGTCGAGACGCGAAAAAAAAATTCTTTTCGATATATTGCTTCAGGTATTTTTATATCTACTTCGATTAGTCAGTAGAATAACACAAAGCCTAGGCTGATGTTGAATGACGTTGTCTGTGTGCAAAAAATGTCTGGCTGACAACAAGCTGTTGGGTCAAGATAACTGGGTAAGGGAAAGCCGGATAAAAAAATGTGTGAATTGAACACGACAGGAAAGATGTTAGTCAAAAATGAATAAAACAAGTGTTGCGTTGCTTGCACAACTCCGGCTTCATAATTCTAATTGCTATAGCTTCCACAGTTATTAGAATCTTCTTACGTAATTTTTTGGTGTGGTTCTTAGATGCAGTGAAAAAAATTGTAAACGCAGTTTCTGTGTCACTACTGTGTCCACTGTCAACCACATTTTACCGGATTGATCTGTTCAGGCTAATCACTGTTCCTTTTCGATAAGCGGCCAAACAGTGTTCAGATATTCTCTTGGACAGACTTCTCATTTTGTGTCCGATATATGATATTATATTATTTTCTACAAATGTTGATTTCACAAAAATTGGTTCGGAATGATGAGTGACGGTCGCGCTAAACATCTGATTTTCTAATAATGCGCCCATTTGCACACGGCTTCTATTCTTGTTATCTGCGTTCTTTATATTCATGCGAGTATGATGACGTTCTGACTATTACAATATCGCCCTGTGCTACCGTGCCATCCGGTAATAATTTACCCTGTGATTCGAAACTACAACTTTTCCCATCAGGCTTTAGTCACAACTCGAAATGCTTTGGCCAACACCCGCAATACTTTAGCCAAGACCCATATTCCTTTGGCCTCGACTCACAAACTGGAGTCACGCCGTTGTAGGCGAGTTAGATGAAAAAGTATCAGAATATACTTTGGGATCAACGGATGTTGAAAAAAAAATTGTTTTCTACAAATGTTGATGTTGTAAAGCTTGGTTAGGAAATGAGAAGGTGTGGCGGTTGCATGCTGCGTCACATGTTGATTGGAGAAAGTTTAAACGATGTGCCTTGTATCGTCAAACCATTTGACAAATATCGTACAGTTTCAGTATTTGGTATAGTATGCGATACTCTTATGATTAAAAATCTGGACTATAACAGTACATTGTTTTGCATTCACAATGAGATATATAATCTTGCTAAAGGTAGTAAACCGCTCGTAAAAGTTTACCACCATAACTGTAATCGGTTTATTAACGCTGCAAAATATGTCATAATTATCACAATCGAGGCTTAATTACTACGGATTTTGTCTATAGTTTCTTGGAAAACGGTGTCCTAAAGAGGTTATTTGGTGAGCAGTGTTTGTTATCTCTAACCTGGTAATTTGTCTACATCTCTAGAACAGAGTTTACTTTAAGTGAAGATACCAAACGGTGAGCATATACCTTATACCTTTTAATTTATTTCCGTGGCTTGTGAATGCAAAACTATCTACCAGTTATGGTACATATGAGACTTGTACTCGTGGGATTATCACACATTGTACAGAAATAATGAATCTGTTGGAGATGTGTCAAATGGTTTGACGATACAGGCACATCGGATAAACTTTGCCCAATCAACATGCCGTGCAGCATACAAAGGTCACACTTTCTTATTTCTTAACCGAACTTTTAAATACCAATATTTATAGAAAATTATTACAACATCCGTTGCCCGTTGACCGAATATTCCGATACTTTTGATCTGACTCGTCTACTGCGGTGTGACTAACGTTTGTGCGTCAAGGATAAAGGACCACGGGTCTTGGTTAAAGTATTGCGGGTTTTCGCTAAAGGTTAATGGGAAAAGTTGTAGGCAAAACATGAACTTCAGCATCATTGATCCCCGTTCGACGCTGGTTCGCTGTTTATCATCGTTGGAAAAGCTGAGAAGCACTGGACAATAGCTGTTTCGACCTGGTTGGGTCTCAT